AAACGTTACAAGCAATTTAGGCCACCCGAAGTCTTCACTGCACTCTCCAGCTATGAGTAGAACGTTATTCGGATGATTAATTGGTCTGTCCCTCCCCCCCCACTTTGCTTGCTAAAGTTAATGTGTGGGCCCACCGTTACAAACCATGCGCACACCTAACAACCCTCATTATATATGGGTTTGGTTTGGAGGTATCGTGCATGGGTACAGCGGCCCTAGCATTGCCAATAATTAGCGGGGCAACTACATTGCATGGCTCTTCCCATAATTATGGGGGCGCTGTGCCTCATCACTTATCATAATGCTAACAGGCTGATCGCCGTAAGCCCGGCATATGCCAGGCTTAAACAAATATTGCCCCTTGCCCCAAGCCCAGGACCCCCTACTATAACTTTGGTTTCACCTTATTACGCATAGGACTTACAAGCACGGCGACCTAATCAACCCCATGACCCTGCACGAAGGCCCACATCAAAGATATTGGCCAAAGATAAGAGTTGGATAGGTGAAGAGTATAGCAGATAGGTGGGGATTGAAATGAGTGAAACAATGGGTAATTGAGGGAGGGAATAGAAAAGAAAATGAGGCACACGCTGGCCTCGCCAACTGAGGAACACGCTGTCCTCGCTGCCTTACCGCCACCTGCGCGACGTACTGCAGCACTGGGAGCTGCCTGCGTGCCTGCCACTGTGCTCCCATTTCGCACACGTGGCTGCGGTAATGTCCATGCCAGTTGCGAGTCCTGAGTACTCTACCAGTGGCGAGGGTGGGGCTCCCCAGCCTCCCCAGCCTAGCAACGGTATTGTCCCCCCATTTACTTTCGTCTAATTGTTCATTTACTCCATCCAAGAGCACTTAGTAGGGTCCCGCCTACTCTTTCACTGCGCACTCGCCAGCTATAGTCAAGGTATTCAGGATGGTTGGTTGGCCTGTCCTTCCCCCCACTTGCTTACTAAAAGTACAAACAATTTAGGCCACCCTATTCTTTCACTGCACTCTCCAGCTATAGTCAAGGTATTCAGGATGGTTAGTTGGTCTGTCCTTCCCCCCACTTGCTTGCTAAAAGTACAAACAATTTAGGCCACCCTATTCTTTCACTGCACTCTCCAGCTATAGTCAAGGTATTCAGGATGGTTAGTTGGTCTGTCCTTCCCCCCACTTGCTTACTAAAAGTACAAACAATTTAGGCCACCCTATTCTTTCACTGCACTCTCCAGCTATAGTCAAGGTATTCAGGATGGTTAGTTGGCCTGTCCTTCCCTCCACTTGCTTGCTAAAAGTACAAACAATTTAGGCCACCCTATTCTTTCACTGCACTCTCCAGCTATAGTCAAGGTATTCAGGATGTTTAGTTGGCCTGTCCTTCCCCCCACTTGCTTGCTAAAAGTACAAACAATTTAGGCCACCCTATTCTTTCACTGCACTCTCCAGCTATAGTCAAGGTATTCAGGATGGTTAGTTGGTCTGTCCTTCCCCCCACTTGCTTGCTAAAAGTACAAACAATTTAGGCCACCCTATTCTTTCACTGCACTCTCCAGCTATAGTCAAGGTATTCAGGATGGTTAGTTGGTCTGTCCTTCCCCCCACTTGCTTACTAAAAGTACAAACAATTTAGGCCACCCTATTCTTTCACTGCACTCTCCAGCTATAGTCAAGGTATTCAGGATGGTTAGTTGGTCTGTCCTTCCCCCCACTTGCTTACTAAAAGTACAAACAATTTAGGCCACCCTATTCTTTCACTGCACTCTCCAGCTATAGTCAAGGTATTCAGGATGGTTAGTTGGTCTGTCCTTCCCCCCACTTGCTTACTAAAAGTACGAAAAGTTTACTACTTCCTTTCTCCCACCGCAGATCTATCGGGGATGGTTGATCGTGTAGAGGTGTTACTGGTGATGGTGGGAGAGTGTGAGGGTGTGATGGAGGAGGGGGAGGGGAGGATGAGTGGGTGTGGTCCCATCGGAGCCGACCCGGACAGACTGGTTCAGCAACAGGAAATACTGGATGTGAGTTAAAACCATGATACGCAATGCCACCTGAATGCAACTGCAAATGATGGGTATATATGATAGACCACTCAACAGAACAACAGTTGTACAATACATGCCTTATACACTGTGTCTGTTGTTTATTTCCCACCATAGACACTGGACGGTGAGCTAATGGAGAAGAAGAAGGTTCCGGAAGACCTGAGAACCGAGGTCATGAATATCATCAGAGACTGTGCCGAGGGAAGTGGGGCGGAGCTCCGGGGGAGGTTGGAGGACCTGCAAAACCGGTTTGACGGGTTGTGTGGGACCTGCTACGAGGCTAAAGAGCTGTGTGAAGAGGCAACTGCTGACATGCAGGTACTTAGGAATAGGGGCTGTAGGAGATGGTGTACAAATCTTTGCCAACTGCTCTCAGACGTACAAGAAAAGCGAGAAGATATTTCTGGACTGGTTGGAGAAGGCGAGTAATAAACTGGGAGAGAGAACTGCAGCCAAGAAGCCCATTGGAATCATCCACTCTGAGGCTGAAGACTTCTCGGTGAGTGAAGGGTTAAATTCTTCTTGAGTTCGCAAATGGTTTGTAATGGGTTAAATTGAGGTGTAAACTTATCTGTAACATTGTAAAGGTTAAAGTCCTCAACATTATTTGTCAGTGGTATAGCAGAGGGTTAAATGAATATATGTAGTACATAAGGAGTTAAATCTCTTTCCACAGGATTTCATGAAGGAAATGGAGCAACATAGTGAGGAATACGGGCAGCTGCGTTGCCTTGGCAACAGACTTGCCGCGAAATACAAACCCAGCGATGCACTGGATGAGATGATGTCATCATTACATCATCAATGGGAGGAGTAAGTGAGAAAATTTCTCCGATGAAAAATTTTACCGATCTTTGAAAATTTTAGGTTTGTGTCAAAGTTATTTGGTCATTTGGAGAAGCTACACTCGCTGGCAATGAAGTGGGACGGGTATGAAAGAGACGTGAAAAACCTGTTGAACTGGATCATGAGCGAGGCAAACCGGTTTAGCGGGGAGGTAACCAGTAGAGGGGACAAGGGAGTGGAGGACCACATCCACTCGTGCAAGGTATGCAGGAACGAGATCATTATGAAAGTATGCCAATGTATGTGTAGTGTATGTATGTAGCTATGCACTCAAAGAATTGACCGCTGAATGGAAACATTTGTATAGTAGGATACTATTTTATCATCAAATGTTTTGGATCATTATTTTCTCACTTTTGTTACTCACCACATCTGCATCTGTGTGTAATAATGTGTAGGTACTGTATGTACGTAGTATGCTACAACACAAAGTCACCAAATCAAAAAAAAACTTCTGTCTCCAAAATTCTGGCGTGTAAAATGTACAGCACGATGCCATCTGTATATGAGAATTTTTTCTCTCTCTCTCTTCAGTTATTCTCTGAAACTCTGGAGGGGAAGAAGGAGGACGTCACCCAGATACAATCTCTGGCCGACGAGCTGAGGTTAGAAGACGGGGAAAAAACCAACGGGACTTGCGACGTCGACTCTCGGTGAGTGGGCGTGTCCGGTGGGCATGGTCTGGTTACCATGACAACCCCAACCCCCTCCCCCTGTAGTTGGAACGATGTGAATCAGCACTGGACGTCTCTGTGCAAGTTGCTGCTGGAGACTCTGATTAGACTAGAGGCTACTTATGCTGAGCTACAACACTTACTTATGATCAGGTATATACGTTTATATACAGTAATGTAACCTGTAAAATTGATTTGTTTTTCCTGAAAAAAACAGGTCAGACGAGTTTGACTGGCTTGAACACAGTGAAAGGGAGGCGGCAGAGCAACGCTGTTGCCATGGTGATGTCGGTCGAGTGGAGGAAGAAATAGTCCGACACCAGGTGAGGGAGATTACCGGCTCGTGTGATGTTTATGATGTCATTATTACATCACCTAGCAACTGTTGTCAGAGGTTGAAGGTCACAGTAACGAGGCGGAGTTCATTCAGGAGACGGTTGAGTTCTTATTAGAGCACACCTCGCTACCTGGGAGGGAAGACGTGAAGTTGAAAGCAGCTGACTTCTCCCATCGCTATGGCGACCTTTTGAAAACACTAAAAACCTATGTTGGAAACCTAGAGGTGAATTTTAACCCCTTGCTGTCCCTTTTGATCGTCGCTGTTCTAAACTGTTTGTCACAGGAGTCAGTTCCTCTGTGGAATGAATTCAATGCCGTCAGTCAGGAGTTTGGGGAGTGGCTTGACCACGCCCACTTACAACTGACCTCTGACCTTACACAACCCGGGAATGCCATCGTCACGGAGACCAGCCTCAGGAATGTCGAGGTTTGTCCAATTACGATTGAAGGAGGGAATTTCTCGTCGTTCTGTGGTTTTGGTGCTTCGTTTTTGCTGCTTTCTGCTCATGGTCCTCCATTGTCTTTCAGTGTGCTAATTTTCATCTTCACGTCGTCTCTCTCTCTCTCTCTCTCTCTCTCTCTCTCTCATTCTCCAGCTATTACAGGAGGAGCTGGCAGGTCACGAGGGAACTTTGGACACCCTGAGAGCTCTGACTGAGTCTCTCTCTCAACTGATTCCCTCCGAGGATAAGGTAGACACACCTCGTGCTGCTAGTAGACTAGCTGGTAGTGTATTTTGAGGCTCTCTTAAGAAAGAAAGAAAGAAAGAACTACAGTGGAACTCCTCTGATCCAGACACCAATGGGACAGAAGAAAGTGTCTGTTAGTGAGGTGTCTTGGTCTTGGGGAAAGAAAATTGTCCTTACTAGAGAGGTGCCTTAGAGAGAGGTTCCACTGTAACGTAGTATAGACTGGAGCAAATCCAGACTGCATGTAATGATGTACACTATAGGAATATGTGTGTGAACTGAGAGATGAGCTGGTGGAACGGACTGGGGACGTGGCGGAACAGACTCGGGACAGATCAGAGACCCTGGAACAGCGACTGAAGAGCTGGCAGGTCAGAATGCTAGTGTTTACATTCACCTTTGACGAGTTTTAATTAAAACTTGTTTGACAGGTATTTCCGGTTGCCGAGGCCCAGGCGGTGCAGGCATTCCTGCAGCAGGTGCAGGTTGCCATGGAGGAAGGGAGTGAGGGACGGGAGGAGGGAGAGGGGGAGGGGGAGGAGAGAGAGGTCGAGGAAGAAGTTAGCTACGAACATCTGCAAGAAAAACTGAGGAGGCTTGAGGTACCTTACATGTAGTATACAACTTTCACAAACTTTGTGCAAATTTGATGAATTGCGAAAGTGTATCTCACAGACACTATAACATGTGCACAAGCTTGCCGACTGTAAATCAAAATGTATTTTACAAAACGTTGTCTCAATGTGATTCACACAAATTGTCGATTTGTTTTGTGGTTAAAGTTTTAAAATCTCTCTCACCTCAGGAGCTGCAGAGGTTGCAGCAGAGTAACAGAGACAAGCTGTCGACCATCAACCAGTCTGTGGAGAGTCCGGAGGTACAGGCCGCTCTTCAGAGGAATCCCGACATCTCTAAAGAGAGAAGCAACCTCTTGCAAGGTATGCGTGAGGAAGTAATCTCTTGTAAGGTACAGTAGGGAGGAGGTGAAAAAAGAGCATGGGTTAACTGAAAGAATGTTACTATTCCATACTCCAGCTATAGTCAAACTAATATTGATGGTTGGTTTGTCTTTTCTTCCACTCACGTTCTTTTAACAAATGCAAAATCGTTAAGACCTTTATTTAGGGGTGGAAGGGGGAAGTTGGTGTAAATGGCTAACTAAGTGAATGTTACTATTCCATACTCCAGCTATAGTCAAGCTATTGTGGATGGTTGGTTTGTCTTTTCTTCCACTCACGTTCTTTAAAGAAATGCAAAACCGTTAAGACCCCCTCGTTCGTAAGAGGACAAGGGGACGGTACAGTGAGATAAGACAAGATAATGAATGTGGACAGCGAAATAGGCAAAGATACAGATAGGGACAGCGAGATGAGGAATTGACAGTTGGTTTGACATTCTTCCACTCCACACACACCTGCCTGCAGGATGGTCCAGCATGTCAGAGGCTCTGGTCCGGAGGATCACTGCCATGAAGGCGAGAGCGGACATGATGAGAGAGGTGGAGGGTGCCTTGGGGAGGGTGTGTGAGTGTGTGAGGGAATTTGGGGAGGATGTGGAGAAGCCTCTCCCTCCCCCTCCGCTACTGGGGGCCTCGAGGGATGAGATCCTGGAGAGACAGGTCAGTGGGGAAGGGGTTAAAGTCTTGTCAATCTTTAAAGATATACAAAAGGGTTAATTTGCTGAATGTTATACAAAAGTTGGTTTGAGATTATGTTTAAAAAGCTAGTGTTGTAATTGACGACTCTCTCTCTCTCTCTGCACAGACTGCACTGTGTGCCAAGTGCCAAGAGGAGATGACTGGTTTGAATAACCTGTTTGACCGGTTTTCAACCAGTCCTGAACTGGAAATACCAGTCAGAACCACCGACAGGGCAGCTACTGCCAGAAAAGATTTCGAGGCAAGTAGAAAATTGAACGCATTTCTAAAATTCAAAATTCTAAACCCTTTTTCGTGAAGGTTGCTTCAGAAAGAGCGGAGCAGAAGGCTGAGCTGGTTGCCAGGCAACTGGAGATGTGGGCGGAGCTAAAGTCATTGTTGCCCCGCCTCTTTGGCTGGCTGCGCGGAGCTCTGTCGGAGTTGTCGTGTCTGAGGAAAATTCCTGACTTTGTCACTGAATTTTCTTCCCTGGAGAGTAGAATGGAGGTGTGTTTCCACTCTGGTTTCCTTTCATCTCTCTTTATCTGTGTGTCAGAACGAAAGGGTTAAAACACGCTGCCATTTTAGATAAAATAAGTATATATAGAGCTCTGAAGAGCTGCCCTGCATGACTTAAAGTTTGTATGTTGCGCTTCCAAATGCTCACTCTAACATGCAATTTAACCCTTGAAATAAGGACACCTTTTAGTTTTTCTAAGACCTACGTAAGAACGATTCTTGCAATAAGGACACCTCTCTAATAAAGACACCTTTTAGTTTGCATGCAATGAAATCTCACCTCACGGCAGTCTCTCATTCCCCACAGGATCTCCGAGAGCAGGTATCAGACAATGCAGACGGAGTCCATAGACTGCAGGCATTAGCAGAGGAGCAACTCGCCAGTGACGACCATCCTGGTGTTAGGGAGATGAAGAAAAAGTTATCGCGAGTCGAGGAAAAGTGGCAGGCACTTAACGAGGGGGTGGAGTCTCTCGTGGTTGCCGTGGCACCCTGGAAGGAGATGACGGACAGGTTTGACGAGTTGCTGGACTGGTTTGACCGGTTTAGAGAGCGAGTCAGGCGAGATCTCTCCAACCTGGAACAAGAGGAGGAAAACTCGGCCAACATGTCCGATTACATCGTTGCTCTAAAGGTTGATAGAATTTGTATTACTCGGAATAGCATTGATGACGTAATGTTCTATTTTTAGGACCACCTGCTAAAAATGGAGCAGCAGGGAGAGGCTCTGGCTCAACTGACCAATCAGAGCGCAGAGCTGCTGTCAGGTGACGTCTGCAGTAGACACGGTCCGGCAGCTGAGCTGAGAGAACAGGTATGTGGGAATTGGGAATGAAGGAATGGCTGTGCTGGAATGGAAGAATGAGAGACTGGGAGTTTCTGTTCCCCAGATATCAGAGTTGGAGGACATGTGGGCAGGCGAGGAAGAGGTGCTGAGACAGTCTCTCTGTGACGTGGAGGAAAAGGTGAGTCTCTTCTCCCAGCCTTTCTTGTCGTCTTTCTTGTCTTTGCATCTGACACTTTAGGCCGTTGAAATTGTCCTTATGTCCCTCATTTGAAGGTACTGGGCAAAAGGCAGAGGGTATGGAGTAGCAAAAGGCAGAACCAAGTGTTCTTTATAGAAAGCCCTTATCAATCCTCTCCCTCCTCCCTCTTTCCACGTGTATATATGTAGGAAGCAGAATGGAAGAGAGTGGCTGTTTCCAGTATCCGCCAACTGTCTCTCCTCTCTCTCAACATCTCCAGCAAGGATGAGGCTCTCTTTGCCAGGGTATGCCGGGGGGCTTCTTCCCCTTGTTTTTACCATTACATCATAATGACATCGTGCATACTTGGGTTTTGAGCTTCCCTTTGTTTACCATTACATCACGATGACATCATCCTCATTCCAGGAGAGGGAGATAGAGAGACAGAGGGAGGAAATCGAGGAGCTGAAACGCAGTTTGAGAACCCAACCTGTGGCTCCGCCCACTCAACAGCAATCATCATTTTGCAGGAAATTTTTCCTTTTTCTTCTTGTATTTTTTCTCCTAGTGTTAGCCTTTCTTTCTCTGTTTTATCACGATGTGGGGTCTCATCTTGAACTTTCACCCCTCATCTTCGAGATCTCCAAAGCTCCGTACAAGCCGATATGATCACATGACAGTCACGTGATACTTGACTCATATCACTGAACTCTACTATCATCACTACTCTCCATTTTGTCATTTACCTGTATTTTTACACGACTTCCCTGCTTATTTTTTTGTTACAATCTTATTTTTTTCCCACTGATTTTTTAACATACTACAGTGCTGGTTCTCAGCCTGAATAAGCGTGTTTTTGGCTTCATGCTAATAGCTATATCTAATCAGCAGACAACTCTAATATATTGGACAAACAGTGGATATATTATCATACACACTAGAGTGCAATAGACAGTTTTATGTTCTTTCTTCTCCTCTCTGAAGTTTTCCTATTGCTTCAGTCAACATCTGGTTACAGAGGGCAGAGTAAGGGTTGAGTTGGACGACCTGTTCAGAGAGAGAAAGAGAGAGGAGGGAGGGAGAGAGAAAGGGAGGAGGGAGAGAGAGAGAGAGAGAGGAGGGAGAGAGAAAGAAGTAGGGAAAAAAGGGAAACAAGGCAGTGAAGGGATAACATAGTTGCAGGAACTTTGAGAGCGAAACTGTCAAAAAAAACGTTCATCAGAGCCAGCAATGCTACAGCTAATACACTAAACTCCATCTACAGCAATAGACAGGGGAGAGCTGGAGTATCCTTCACACCTGTCTCTGTGCGAATCTGCTGCCGAGTTTTGCAGCTCTCTTGAAATCCTGCAACGCCCTCTCCTCCTCTCCCTTGACTCTCCAAATAATGCCCCTCTGGCAGAGGGCCTGTTCGCCAGCCTTCCCTCGCCCACCGCTCAGCTCAACGGCCTTGTTCAGGTCAGACAGCGCCTCCTCCATCTGCTGTCTCAACTGGTAGACCTACAGTCTGTCAATTTCAAAAAGAAATTCAAGGGTGAAGTCGTAAGTTTTAGAATCTGAATCATGACTGAATTAATATTATGGAAACTGGAAACTATGCAACGGTGCAGTATAAAAATGGCTAGGATTAACTGAAATTGAATGTTACTATTCCATACTCCAGCTATAGTAGAACTATTATGGATGGTTGGTTTGTCTTTTCTTCCACTCACGTTCTTTAAAGAAATGCTAAATCGTTAAAACCAGATCACTGCATGGATGTGTTGTCTAACTCACATCTTTCAAAAGCAAAAAAACTTATTGTGGTGGGTGCAGTAGCAACTCCTGACCTGTGCTCTGTTGTTATAGACCGAGGCGGAGTCAGGTGCCATGGCGACGGCCTCGTTGAGCAGCTGCAAGGCTTCATCCAGTCTCCCTTCCTCCGCGGCTTGCACTGCCCTCACCTCTCTCTCCCTCACCTCCCTCGGGGCTGGCTGCTGCTGCTCTGAATGTCCTCCTCCTCCCTCCAACTCTCCATCTTCCTGTTTGAGAAGAAAAACTCTCTCTAAGGACACCTCGTCAATGGGACACCTACATATTTAGGAACAGTTTCTTGCACGAGGGGACCTCAATAATAATCACGACTTGTGTTTTTTAAACAATTCAGTACTCTTTACAAGCTGCTGCACAGATTTACAAGTTCCAAAGTAGAGAAAGAAAATACTTATAGCTACAAGTAAACATTTAGCTCAGAACTTTGTTAGATTTCACGGTCTGGTGTCTCTGTGCCTATACTTATGTCCTTATCTCACCTGTAAGGCAAGGAGAGGCGCCTCTGGGTCGAATATGACCTCCAGAATCCTGTCGTCCGAAGAGCTGCGTCCGCTAGCCATGTTCAACGACCGTCACGTGACGTTTTTTTGTTATGGTGCGCATCAATTAGAGCGGAAGTTGAGCGAAAACTCGACTGCTCGACATGGGAAACTCGGAAAGTTCAGTGGAAGAACACGTGGAGCAGGCGAGAAAGACTGGCGTCTGCTCTCTCAAGGAGCGCAAGCTGTCGCAAGTAAGGCCAAAGATGCGTAAGAGTAGTTAGAAGTCTCTCCAATAAATGTGACGTTGATTTTTAATAAGTGGCTCACGTGAGTGTCACGTGATTGTCACACAGGTGCCACCGGCAGTGCTGAGTCTGAAGTCAAGTCTGAGGACCCTGGATCTGTCAGTCAACAGACTGACTTCCCTCCCTCTGTCTATGGGAGATTTCTCTCTCCTGAAGACACTCAATGTCTCTCACAATAGACTGAGTGAGAGACTCTCTTTTCTCTCTCTCTCTCTTCTCCCTCTCTCTCTTAATCCTCATTTTCTATTCCATCTCTTCTCTCTCTCCTATGTACTCTTGCAAACCCTTTCATCTTTCGTATTGGCCTGATTAAAAAGGCACCCATTTCACTACAACCTAGACAAGTTCCATCACTCATGAAAAAACCACCACTTTTTCATGGACTCATGTTTGCATATGACACCCCCTTTTTCTTCCTCTCTCATTTCTTAGCTAGTCTTCCAGACCTCGGCCAGTTGAAGAAACTCGAGACACTGACAGCAGATGACAACTCTCTCTCCTCTCTCCCCGACTCATTCTCCCAGCTGAAGTCACTGAAATCTCTCCATCTTTCACACAATAAACTGTCCACCTTCCCTCCCCATCTTCGTCAGCTATCACACCTCCAGTTTGTCGACCTATCGACCAATCAGATTGCAGAGATTCCAGCTGAGAATGTCGAAGGATTAGCGCTAGTCGAGCTGAACCTAAACAACAACAGTGTATCAGTAATTCCTGAAGCCCTTGCTACTTGCCAGAGATTGAAGGTAAAGGTAGTCTATATACAGTGGAACCTCGAACAAGGGACACTACAGGGCTGATGATTTTGTCGTGTTGAGGGGTCATCTCTTATTGGAGGATCCACCGTAACTTTTGAGACGTCTGCATTCACAATTTGCTCGTTTACCAGTTCTAACTATTCCTGGTTGCGAAAATTTACCTATTGTGTTAGTCTTTCTGTCTCTCTCTACTTGCAGGTGCTAAGAGTGGAAGAGAACACACTCCAGTTGGGAGGCATCCCTCCCTCCCTCCTCTCCTCCTCTGCCATCAGTCTCCTCTGTACATCTGGTAACCTCTTCCAGAACAGGGAGCTGCAGGATCTTCCCGAGTACCAGCTGGTGAGAACATAGCATGTCATAACCTCATTGTTTGATCATTCCCTCTTCTCCACAGTATATGGAGAGATATACTGCCACTAAAAGAAAAGCAGATTAGTTTTTCATTCATGTGTCCACATCATTTTATGCTAATAATAGTTGCTGCATCCCGAATTACATGTGTGTGTAGTGGTCTGGCGGCGACTGACGAGCGTATAGTGCGCATGCTCATGGGTCATACTGCTGGCGCGGGTGTGGGCGTGGTCTTGGAACAAATTGCCCATGCGCGCGCGTTTAGCTCGCCCGGGCCCCCCCCCACACTATTATAGCAGCAGCGAGCGACGACAGGGGCGGATCACCGACAGGACGGCAATGGCGACATGGGGACAACCTAGCTCTAGTCCTCCCACTTACGAGCAGATACTTAACCGCCATGGGCTCAAGAGACGGGAAATGCAACGGCGATGTTCGGGCGACGAACTTTTCCCGATAGCGCGAGAGATGATTCGATGGCGGAGCATAGACCTTGGACTACAGAAAGGCATCATAAACTCCATCGAAAACGATCCGACTACAGGCGAGGAAGAGAAGCAGATCAAGCTCCTAGAGCGGTGGAGGGAGTCGTACGGTCACGACGCGACCTACGATAGACTAGCTTACAGCTTCTGCTCGTCCAACCGAGTGGACTTGGCCGACGTCGTGTGCGAAATGAGGAAGAAAGGTTGCCAAGTGCCTCTGCCTGCCTCTGACAGTAAGTGTGAAGTTAAAACACCTATTGTTTGCCTTCTCCTTGTTTAGTAGTATGTACGTGTACAATAACTATGGTTACGTTATCGAGTGTAGTAGAGAATTTCCCCACTTCCTCTTTAGTGAGTGAGCTCTGGGAGGAAACAGAAACAGAAACAGAGGGAAACGTTCAGCCCTTTGTAAAACCAGAGGAAGCAACTACTACAGATGAGGGTGCAGTTGATGACCGTGGCATTCCTCCTGGTCAGGCAGAAAGCATCGGTGCTGGACAGAGAAGTCGACCCAGAACAGTATCTGAAAAGGGACAGAATCCTGAAGAAAAGCAGATAGGTTTCGACCAGTCAGGGTGGCAAGAACAGAGCGATGGAAGGAAATCTACACCCATATTTGCAAGCAGCTTCCCATCAGTGAAGCAGAAATCTCCCCAAACAAAACCACCAAAACATGCCCTCGCAGAATCCCCAAAGGCTCTTGAGATGACATGTGAAGCGCTGAAATCAAGTTTAACACACATAGACAAACTGAGAGAGGAGAGGGAGACAATGGCAACCAACAACGAAAAGAAAGTGAGAGAGTTGCTTGATCGCAATAATAAAGCAGCGAGGCTGATGGCAGAAAAGGACAGGCAAATCCAAGCACTAGGGGGTGAAGCAAATGATATGCAGAAAAGACTTAGAGCAGAACAGAAAGAATCTAGGAAAGTGAAGGGAGGTTTGGCGGAGAGAGACAAAAAGATTTCTGAACTTCAGGACGACATCCAACAACGAGACAAAGAACTCGAACAAGTTAAAGACAACCAGCAGAAACTAACAGAGGTGAGGAGCAGCTTCTGCAAGCCAGGGGAAAACTGGCGGATGAAACGAGGATGAAAAATGAAATGGAACAAAAACTTGCACGCACATCCAAGCGAATTAAGCACCTCGAAACAGACCTGAAGAAGGCCAACACCAATGTAGATGAAACTCTGAAAGAGCGCAAGTGCCTTGAAAACATTGTGCAGTGGACAAAAGATGATGTGGAGGAGGAAGATGAAGAAGAAGACGAGATAGCATCGCTACACTCCAAGTTACTGGAGAAAGAGGACGAAATAGCAAAACTGAGAAAACAAAAACGAATTTACAGAATTGCATTTGTCATCGTAGTCATAATTCTTGCCTGTCTTGTTCTGTCCCGTGTTCCCATCACCTGCTCTCATCTCTTTGGTGGCCACACTGAGCTCTAGCAATGGAAAATGTGTCGATTGTGTTGTGTGAGTATCACCATGCGTTATGAATTTAAGTTGCATAGACAGAAAGATGCAGATGCTGCAATCACACGGAATTGTAATAGCAAACGTTGCACATTATTCTTTATGAATAATCACAATACATTTGTGAATGAGGCTTTTTGAGCAGTAAACTATATGAGATCATAATTCAAGTCACAGAGGGGCAGGTGCATGTTAGAAGAATTCAGAGCAGTGTCCACAACTTCCTATAAGTGAGCTATATACTCTGTCTCACAATAACTAGTTAAGTGCAAGCATTCTTTTTTCAGAGTGTCTCTTATCAGAGGTTCCAGGCAAGCTCTTTTGCAATTTGTTCATTTCCCCCTTTAAAATGTTCCTATTTACCCTTGACACTAGTCAGTTCGTGTTGTAATTATAGTCTTCCCGTCCCTCTCTACATGCAGGTGCTAAGAGTGGAAGAGAACACGCTCCAGTTGGGAGGCATCCCTCCCTCCCTCCTCTCCTCCTCTGCCATCAGTCTCCTCTGTATATACATCTGGTAACCTCTTCCAGAACAGGGAGCTGCAGGACCTTCCCGAATACCAACTGGTGAGAACATAGCATATTGCCTCATTGTTTGAAAATTTCCTCTTCTCCACAGTATATGGAGAGATATACTGCTACTAAAAGAAAAGCTGATTAATTATGTATCTAATGGTATTTAGACCGCAGTCACGCGCAATTGACCAATCAGATTACAGAATTGCGGGGGGTTTATTTTTCATAGACACCTCGTTTCAGGTGTCTATGGCGTTTGCAGGTGGTCTACAGCAATCTCCCCGTACAAAATGGCTATTCTCAAAGTCGTTATCTGCGCAAACCGGGCCGATTCCGCGTTCGGTATATGTAAGCGCTAGAAGGCGCGACTGGCAACAGTAGCCCTTTTAAAATGCGTAGTGCACCTGCAAGAGTCTGTGGACAGTCTCCGGAGCTCGCGAAAGTCAGAAATCACGTCAATATTCACGAAAAAAGCGTCGGCTTAGCTCTGGCGATACACAAACACATTGGGCCGTTGCCGTGCGTTGACTAAACCCTTTCAAAACGCGCACAACCAATGATGGCGTTTTATGATGACGTAAACGATTTTTGACGGGGGGCGGGGGCTGGTCTCCTCGGAGTCTCACACGTAAAAAAGCGTCTTGTTCCATCCGAAGGTAAGGAATGAGGAATTGAGCACAGCGTTGGCTAGCTTGTTGCTACCCATTTGAACGCGCAAACACAATCAGATACTCCGGTCTAAAACCGGTTAGGACGCGAGCTCGGTTGTCTACGCAACATTGCAACCCTCGTATGGGGTGGTAGTCGTGTCAGTATCAGACGTCGATTTTGCCGAGGCATTCCGTTTTGCCGCGGCAAATATACCAACTGCACGCGGCACATTGCCCCGGCAAAACCTGGGCCGAAAAAATCCGGGACATTTGCCGCGGCAAAGAATACTAGCTGGGCCATGTCAATCGTGTCAGTATTCTTGTCGTTGCCGGGCCTTTTGCCGCGCGCATTAAACGTCAACGGTGCTATTCGCCTGGGCAATCGCCGCACGCTGCCACAATGCAATATTGCCTAGGCAGAGCCACTTTGCCAGCGGCCAAAAGGCTCAATGGCAACGGACCAGAATACGGACACCACGATATGAACAGGGGCCCAGCATTGCTATAGTCTTTGTCCGCAGGCATACTGTACCCGGATTTCGGCCCAGTTTTTCCGGGGCAATTGCCCAGCGGACAGTTAATTTTGCACGCAAGACGGCCAAACAACGGTACATGCACATTGGCACAAAATTCGACGTTTGTAAATACTGACTACCAGCAATACGTTCGCACCATACCTCGGGGAAGCATCGTGCGTAGCCCTCGCCGCGCTCGGGAGACGCCAACATTCCACACAGAACTCCCGCGGTTGCCAATGATAGCCCGCTAGACCACCTCGACTTCCGAACTCTAACCTACTATATAGCGTGGCCCTCAGACGGTCGACCCAACGGATTACTTGCGCTCACCCTCCTGTCCCTTGTTCATGCCGCCCGGCCGGCCGGCCGCCGCGCACGGCACGACCCCCCGACTCACGGCGTCGCCAAGCCAACCCTACATGGCACGTGACCAGCACGCCCCCGTCCGTCTTACCGAAGACCTTTGACTAACCCACCCAATGGACTGAAGCCGCCGACTCACACGGCACGACAGGCAGTGCTCCGACACCGCCCCCCCCCCCCCCCCCCCCCCCCCACATGACTTTGCGCGGCGCTTCGCCCGTCAAACACTGCCACCCCGGACTGCGCGCCGCCCACCAGTCACCATACACTTGGGCGCTGGACAACGGGGAGGCACCACAACTTGACGCCATGAACCAAGGACGCCCCCGGACGAGGAGGGAACCCAAGACGGACACACATCCCGTACCTCAACTGCTGGATGAGCAAAGACACTGCGGCCCCACAAAGCTACATGCCCCGCACGGCCCCCCCCCCCCCGACGACTGACCCCCCCCTGACCGCACGCCGCTTTTGAACTCCCCCACCGTCCAGCGAGCAGCCCCCCGACCCTAGCCGAGCAGGTCATGCCCGCTTGTGCAAGTGCCAACACTCGATCTGACCCGTCACTACAGACCCGTAACCCACCAGTAAGCTCTCGCTCACTACCAACCATCTGTACCAAGGTAGCTGCACAGGTCAGTTCTCAAGCCGTACCTATATTTCTGCTGCAGAATTCACATCGACCCCCTTGACTATAGCTCTTGAAACCCAGTCATGCTGCTTCCACTCACGCAAACCCATTTCTCCTCTTCACACCACCACTTACGTAAATTAAAAAGCCCTGCGAATTTTAATGCCTTATAACCCAATTGACTGACACTAACCAATGATTAATACGAAAACAGAATTACGACCACTGAAGTATTTGAAGAAGTGGAGGGAAACACGGGGCTTCCGAGCGACATGCGAGTGTATGGCGCGAGCTTTTGTGCAAGATGAGAAAGTTAACCTTGCAGAGAAACGCATGTACGCGAAGTCAGACATAGTTCGAGAGCCCACGAGTGAGTCCTACGCTATAGCTCATGCCCTAAGCTGTTATCCGTGCCTGTCGGTTCTTTCACGCGCCGTCAGAGGAGGCATGCTCGACACACCCTCTTAGGAAAAGCGCGACGGGGCAGGCGAAAAGAAATTCGCAGAGAGGAAAAAAATCCCAAAAACGGAAAAGATAGTTAGTAATGGAGAGGTGATGTTAGGCCAGGCAACACCCACGTAAGTCCCCCCCCCCGCTCACCCCCCCCCCCCCCCCCCCCGTCCCCCAACGGAACCGTACCCCCGTCCCCCCGGCCGTCGTCACCCGTAACCCCCCCCCCCCACCCCCCCCGCTCACAGCTTCACCCCGCCCGTACCACGTTTCTAGAGAGCGTGAAATGCTACCTTCGGATATAGGTGCATTAGTCAGTACTTTATACACACCCATACACTATAATAGGGTGTTATCGCACATCTCCTGTAACAATTAGCTAATACCTAACCACTGGCCGTGGGTCGGTCGCTGCACTCTGTAGCCCATACATGTATCTGTGTCCTATTCGTTGTTTGGTAGTTCTCATTCGTTGTCTAATGGCTTCTTAAGACGTTCAGTTACATCTTTTGCACCAACCAACAATACACCTCATTGTTGCAATTATCATGTTCTCTAAAATTATTAATTGGTCTGGTTTTGTCTTCCAAATTACCACTTTTGCCCCAAGTTTTCCTTCCTCCATACTGCACATAATAGGCAGAGAACAAAGCATGTACTACCAGACCCCATGGGCCGCAGTTAAGCAACCTAGAGTAGCTACACAGACATACCAAAGAGGAACCCTCTTGATAAAGGAAGTCCATTATTCATAGGTTCTCTGTTATGTCAAGCGAGGCGAGCGGGGCTGTCAGGCTGTCATCTTTTCCTACCTGCCACACGGAGCAGAATACTCGTCCATGACTCAACCAACCTGCACACCTGCTGAACTGTCTATGAACGCCTCTCACCTCTTATAGGCCTTGCGCTCCAAGTGCCGCAATGTTATATACCTCCCACATGAACTGAACTATACAGAGCTCACCGAGGTTTAGTTTAGTTATGCTGTTAAAGGGCTCTTATTCGTCCCCGTCATCAATTAAATGCTGGCAGGGGATTCAGCCACCCCACCCACCCACCGTGCCAATGAATGTGGCACCAGCAGCTTATGTTTAATCCATCCTCACCCCCCCGCTACAACCAGGACACCCCTGACTGCAAGGCCAACACAGCTGCCCGCGCGCGTCCTCGGCACGGAGAACAGGAACAGTGCCCCCTGCGACCCCCCGCCACTAGCAGGAAGGGATAATCCCTCCGGACCCCTACTACACACTGGACAGCAAACGGCCTGCCCGACAAATTCATCAACAGGTATTTACTAGTTCCCCCAGCGCGCATGCGCAGCGAGGATTACACATGGTAATGTTTGGATTCATGAGTATGTTCTCACTACCTTGTCTGTGTACGTTTTCTGCCACCTGACGGGTGCAACGCGGGATGGAGACGGAAAGAGGGTGTAGATACCCAACAAGAAGGCCAGCCGCTACATAGCTGATGTTTAAAAATATTTTCCTTGTTTTTTCAAAAAACGGTTTATGGTTTTGTATTATAACCACTCAGTATCCGTTGAAAAAAACGACCAAATGCAGCCAGATCCGCTTGCTTTGCTTTATTCTTGTGTTGTGGCTTTATCTCTAGATTTTTTTAAGATCTTTTTTGTTTCTTTTTAGTTCACAATTGAAGCCGAAGCCGCAGTATGGAACGAGCACTGCAGCAACCATGCATGGTATACAGGTGTATCAATCACATTTCCACTATAACAAGGGGCGTTCATTTAATATCTCCTATCACACGCAGTGTGTGTTTTTCACCGGATGACTTCCTTTTATGATAATCGGAATCAAAGTTTATCAAATGTACAAGTGATGTCAATAACTTGTTTTCTGATGCATGTGTCATGCATATACACATTGGTTTTACTGATGTTGTTAGATGGGCATTTAGAATTACGTCAAAACCTTTATCCTTTCATTT